ATATGGTGCGATTAAAAAAGAAAAAAAAAAAATGTTTGCTTGCATAGGCTCATACAATTGTGGAGAGCACATAATCACTTTATTCACTAAGCTTAAAGTAAAGCTATATTCACTTCAATCATCCAAACATATGCAAACAAAAATCCATGTTTTAACATTTTTATCAGACATGAATGGGTATAGACACAGCTTCACCCTAATCACTAAGCCAAATGAACATATACTTTTCTAAGTGAACATGTTCTACTCCTTTAGTAAATGAACCCTATGCATGACAGGCAAAATAATTTTTAGATGAAGAAGACAGTAGTGCAGCCCAGCCTCCATGCCTTCCTTTTGATAGATTTATTTAAGAATGAAATGTGATTGACAGTAATGTTGTAGACAGTCCCACTTCTAAACAGGATCATAACTGGTCTTGTTTAAGACAGATTTCCTAAAACTGGAGCATACAAAATCTGGTTCAGCTCTGCATAGAAACCAAGCAGCTTCCAGGTTTTATTGTCAAAACTTAATTGAACAAGCTAAACGTAGAAGCCGACTGGCTGGGGGGCATGGCCATATAGAGCTGTTGTCCTGCACTGACACAGAACGCCGAAGCCCAGACAAGCGCTGAGGAGCTATCAGCATAGGCCGTTTCAGTGGGATCCAGGTCACTGACCACTGAGGAAAATGTACCACATGAGAAAGGAGTACGGGAGACCAGGGAAAATTACAGACATCTTCTCCCCTTTGCTTTGGCTGAGAAGCCAACATTGCGGCAGCGGGTCTCTGAGATCTCCACATGGCCACTCCTATGAAGGTAGGGGAACCCTGGCAACAACACTATGATAGGGGACACCTCCACTCCCAGACTTCCAACTCCTCTTTTCAGCATTCCAGCTCAGTCAGATCCAGTCAGAAGTTGTTGCACACATCAGCATCAACACCTGAGGTGAGTGAGATTGATAACTCACTGGAGGATACACATGAGCAGAAGGATTCATTAACAGAAAATTTCCTAACAAATACTGTAATTTTCCATTCCTGATGGACTCCATGGCAGCATACATATGGATTTAGCCATACCCTCTCCAATCCTGTAGGATCCCACTCCCATAAATCTTTGCTCAAAGCCAGAAGCCATCCATAACTAGCCTACTTATGATATTGGGAGGGTACTCCTGCTGCCATGGATTCCATCAGGAAAGGAAAATTACAGTAAGTATTTGATAGGAAATTTTCATTTTCTGACAGACTCCATGGCAGCATACGTATGGGGAAATAGCTAGCCTTACACACATGTGGGCAGTTGCTGAACAAAAGGTTTTAATTTGTACTGCAAGCGACATGACTTTCAAACCAAAATTAACAGAGTATAAGGAAGCAGGCTCTACACAGTAATGAGCCATAAATATTTTGATTGAAGACAATGAGACTGCTCTGCAGATCATCTTTGGGGCGATATTCCACAAAACTGCACGAGACGAAAACACACTCCTGGTTGAGTGTGTGTTCACAAGATCCAGAGACACCACGCCCTTAGCTCTGTAGGCCATCTGGATGGCCTGGATGATCCAAGCTACAATCGATCTGGAAGAAGCACGATATCCCTTATTCTTCCCATGAAAGAAATCGTACAGATGGTCAGACTGTCAGAAGGAGGCTGTGGCTTTCTGGTATAGTTTTAGAGTTTCCCCACATTCAGTGGGCGAATGATGGTACTCCCAAAGGACCTAAATGTGGGAAAAACAATCTCCTGGTTCCCGTGGAAGACTGAGGTTAAGAATGGTTCTTTACATCCACGGCTTCCATTTTTGCTGATGTGACTGCCACTAGAAAGGCAGATTTAATAGAAAGCTCTCTGATTGTGGATGACCCAGTTGGCTCCAGGCCAATTTCTGAAAAAATTTGAGGACAAGACGAAGGTCCCACTTAGGGAATATTGATTTTCTCTGGGGATTCAACCTTACCGCTCCTTTGAAAACTGGCGGACAAGAGAGTGGTTGGCCCATTAAACTCTGGTGAAGGCCAAAACATCTGACACCTGTAGCTTGAGGGAACTGACCGACAGAGCAAGGTCTAAGCCTGCTTGTAGAAAACCCAGGATATCCTGAACTCTTGGATTACTGTATGATCCACCATTAGCTGACATATAGTTTACAAATTTCAACCAGATTCTTCCATAGATCCTGTTGGAACTTGATCTTCTGGCATTCATCAGGGTAGGAATGACCTCAATAGGACAGCCTAAAGCCTTCAGTCTCCCCCTCTCAAGACTAGATCATTAGATGAAGGTGAGCTGGGCAAGGGTGTAGCAAAAGACTGCACATGTGCCGTGCAGCAGAGGGGCTGTGGGACAGGAATCGGCGGCCTGGAGTGCACAGCTGTGCTCCATCCACTATGAGAGGCCTAACACTAGCGTCAGGAACAAAAACAAAACAAAACAGGAATAACATACAGAGGCTACTGCCACAGAGGAGACAAAAAACAGGCAAGATACATCACCAGTCCACGGCACTCGCACAACCCCACCTGGAGTAAGCCAAATTGCTTCTTGCCTGCCATTGACTGGGCCTTAGCTCTTCATGGCACTGTATTCAGCCATTTTCCAATAATAGCTATGGACTGCTGCAACTGATGAGGGGTGCATCAGCTTGGGTCTTTCTGGCATCCGATTGCCCTGTCCACTACCCCGATAATAGCTGTGGACCATGTGGCCTGACAAGGGGCACATCTCATGTCTCCTAAAGTGGCTCACCTTCTGAGCTGCCAGGCCTTGGTTGCAGACGCTGACATCCTGCTCGCATGAACAAGGTAAAACTTCAAAAACACCTGGTCCTAGGAGGAGGACAAAAAAAGGATGCTTACACTGGCTCTGATCAAAGATTTATGGGAGTGGGATCCTATAGGATTGGAAAGGGTGGGGCTAAACTCATACATATGCTGCCATGCAGTCTGTCAGGAAACATGCTTTCCCTACTGCTACCTACCAGCCAGTGCTGGACTCAACACTAAAAGACATGTTAGTGTTACTATGAAGCTCAATTCATGCCTGCATTTTTACAGTTATTTCTGCTTTGAAACTGAGAAAAGTCCATGGCGTCCAAAAAGCATTCCTTTAGGTCAAAATCATTTCTGGTCTGACCCTGAGGATTTCCTAACTTTTAAAAATATGATTGCATAAATACTAATAAAAATTGTTATGTTATGCTTTAGTGTTCCTTTAAAATGGAAGTTCAGTCAAACTCTAAGTAAAGCTAAACTTACTCCCACCCCCATTCTAATACTATCTTGTCTACCCTGTGAATGAAAAGATGCTTATACTTACCTATTTTGAAGCTGAGCCAGTCCTGTCACATGATCTCTCAAGAAACAGCTTATTGGAAAAGGAGAGCTCAATGACAATTGCTTCCTCTTCAGTGGTGTCACCCATAGGCTTACTATGGGGCATCCACTGTCAGCTGCCCCTCTTCTACACTGAAGCCGACGCTGGGACCAGTTCATGTGACCCCACTGGTGTGGCTTCAGATTAGGTAAGTACAGGCATCTTCTCTTTCAAAGGGTAGATAGAATAAGCTTAGAACTGGGGTAGTAGGGTTAGCCTTAGTTAGATTTTGACAGAACTTCAACTTTAAGCTTAAAGGCATCGAAAACACTTAAATGTTACTTAAAGACAAGTGCACACTTAATCTAAAACCAGATAATCCACTTTCCCCATCCCCGAACATAATTCAACCTAGACACCCCCTCACTCCCCCACACACGCAGATGCTAATACACATGTTCATGAAAGTCATGGCTTCCTCCAGTGTTTAGATCTTCAGGCCCAAAATCATACAGTGCTGGCCATACCTGATATCCGGTAGAGATAGTGTGATCAGATATGTGGGGCTACACAGAAGGACTGGACCCAAAACTAGGTGAATGCATACAAAAGATGAAAAAAAAAAACCTGCAAACTGCCTAAACTATATTTAAATTAGCAGGAAGAATCATGTAGATCAGGTGAAGCATGGTAAGGCAGGAGGTACAAGAAACAGCATGTAAAAAAGGTTAGAAATTAGGCTAAACAGCAGAAAGATGAGGAGGTTGAGGTACACAGGAAGCAGGTATAGGGTTCAGTTTCACAGAAGGCATGATAGGATGTCTTGCAGCAGAACAACACAAATATGCACACATTGAAATTACTAAAGCCTTAAGAAATTCTAGAGGAGACACCAGATACCCTCCCAGCAGCCAGTATCAAGTGAGGACTAATTTCTGGGATCTGCTGGCTGCTGAGAGCCACCTGCTAGTGGACACCAAAACCGCACCCTCAGGTTTATGGATCACAGTGCCACCAGCAGATGATTCCATCTATATAGACTTGAATGGTGCCATATATGCAGCATTTCTTGTGTATGGTCATATTCAAATAAATGAGGAGTTACTGAATAGGCTGTAAAAATCAAACTGACGCTTGTGATTTTTGCTTCAGCTGTAACAAAGCTTTGCAGCCACAGGGAATTATATTACATCCACCATAACATCCACCGTGCAGTAACTTCTCCTCTTTTTTACCTGAGTTGCTAGGTGTAAAAGGCACGCGTACATGAATAAGGGAATACTACATACTCAAATGGTGATATGATTATGGTGGCAGCTCTCAACACTGTATAGGGAATTTTGTTCCTTAAAGTTTCTTCACAGGCATGACCAGCACCGTAGAACGTATCAGAGCAAATAAACAAAGATGGAGGCCTGATGGGCTTTCAGGTTACATATGTTTATAGGGCAAGCAGAAGGGGGATAATGAGTTTTAGACTAAAATAGAACTTGTCATGTAATGCACAAACACATGTGCATATACACAAGGGCATGCACATACAGTATGTGAAATGTATGGTGGCATATTCAGACATCTTCATACAAAACATACACTATATTGCCAAAAGTATTGGGACACCCCTTCAAAACATTGGATTCAGGTGTTCCAATCAATTCCATGGCCACAGGTTTAAAAAATCAAGCACCTAGTGATGCAGACTGCTTCTACAAACATTTGTGAAAGAATAGGTCGCTCTCAGGAGCTCAGTGAATTCAAGCGTGGTACTGTGATAGGTTGCCACCTGTGCAATAAGTCCATCCGTGAAAGTTTCCTTGCTAATAAATATTCCACGGTCAACAGTTAGTGGTATTATAACAAAGTGGAAGCAACTGGGAACAACAGCAATTCAGCCACAAAGTGGTAAGCCACGTAAAATGACAGACCAGGGTCAGCGCATGCTGAAGCGTACAGTGCACACAAGTTACCAACTATCTGCAGAGTCAATAGCTAAAGACCTCCAAACTTCATTAGGCCTTCAGATTAGCACAACACCAGTGCATAGAGACCTTCAGGGAATGGGTTTTCATGGCCGAGCAGCTGCATCCAAGCCCTACATCACCAAGTGCAATGCAAAGCATCGGTTGCATTGGTGTAAAGCACACTGCCACTGGACTCTAAAGCACTGGAGACATGTTCTCTGGAGTGATGAATCACGCTTCTCTGGCTGGAAATCTGATGAACATGTCTGGGTTTGGTGGTTGCCAGAATGGTACAGACTTCAGAGAGTTGTCAGACATGTATGCATGATATGGATGCTGACAGGGCAAAAAGTCTGAAGTTGTCTACAGAAGGTAAAAAGTAGAGGTTATGTGCACCATATTAACAATGAGAAACAGGAATGACTGACACTTGTTCATTTATCCCTTCAAAAACTAGATTCACCCTGACAATGGCTGGTGAGAAGCTCATGTCTACGGTCACCATTTTTTAATGTGATCCCGTGTAAGGACTCTTTCCAATGTTTGCATGCTAAAAAGCAAACATGTACAGTATATTGAATGAATAGCATTATAAAGTTGCATTAACTTTGCAATCCACAGACAGAAATAAAAACATTACAAGCGGCAGATGAGACATTTCCAGGAATCTTTTACCTTTACAAGGAAATAAAACTGGACTAGTATCCCAAAAAACAGACATTATTCTAAATTCCTTGACAGATTAATATAATTCAGTGCATTAAAAGTCAGCTCTCTATAGCAGAATGTTTTCCTCTCAACAATGGCATATTTGAGATTATTTTAAAGTTAACGATGTCCCATTTAAAATGCAATAATTAAATCTTTCATATCTTGTACTGCTTAATTTTAGGTAACTTACCTTTTGGTAATCAACCCTTGACTCATGTACAACACAAGCATATTAATTTACTATCAATTTAATTTGTATTATAACATTCTGATAAAATGGCATAAGAAACCTAAAACAAATTATAGTTTGTGCAGATCACTGTGATTTGGAGTGAGATTTTGCATCAACCTAATTAGGAATACATAACGTGATGTTCAGTTTATAAATGTTGCTTCTATGGATATATTTGCTAAGAACTGAACTTAACTGACAATAAACAAATCTACTTGCTCTTCTTGCATTACATTCTGCCTCATCTTCCCAGCAAGTATTGATCTGCACTCCCACACTTTGCCAAATATATTAGCACTTATGCCTGTGAGGCTACAGTGCACCTAGTTTACATTGACTGGCTTAATGCTAAAGCCTCACAACTCAAGATTTTGAGCCAAATAGCATTTTGTTTTGTCATTCGACCGGAAAAAAAGATTTAAAGGAAATGTGCTTTGTTTTAGTATAGACTCTTTTCTTTTCTTACCTAAGCCCGATCCAATCCCTCCTCACTGGGAAGATTGATGGCAGCAGGAGCCATTGGCTCCCACTGCTGTCAATCAAATGCTGTGATGAGTGGGTGGGGCCAAGCTGCCCACTCTGTATCAATAGACGCAGACAGGCCAACTTGGAAGAGAGTCCGCACAGGTGCCCCAATGGAAAGTGGCTTTCTATGGGGGCACTCATTGAAGAAGAGGAGCCTGGGGTGTTGGTGGGGACCCCAGAAGAGAAGTATCTAGGCTGCTCTGTGCAAAACGATTGCACAGAACAGGTAGGTATAACATGTTTGTTATTTTAATTTGAAAAAAGCTATAAGTTCACTTTTTAACAAAAATAATAAATTCACATTTTTATGCAGATAAAAAAATGTGCATTTATTGTCTTTTGCTTCAGGAGCCTGGAAAGCATTGTACCAGCGATCAGCAGATCGCTGGTGCCATGCAGGTCTCCTGCACATCTGTCAGTATATTTGCTTGCTTGTACGGGATGTATGGGCAAGCAGATATACTGAGAGGAAAATTCTGTGAACTACTACGGCACTCCACAGCGCTGTGGTAGCTCATTGAGAACTACAAGCTGGCAGCCGCTAAGGATATCGGAACTTGTAATTTCACATTCACAGAGGAGTGATGTGGCTGGTGGGTGGATCCCTGCAAGGCAACTTTGTTTTTTTAATTTGACAGCTAGCAGCTGGAAAGTGGCGGGGAGCGGGGGCCAGTGCTTTGGGTGTAACATGTTATGAAAAGTGAGCGTATTGCTTTAAGTGTTAGCTGGATTTCAACTTCAATTTCTTTGTCAAGTCCATCTAAATCTGCTAGTCTAACACTACCCTCTTCCCAGACTGATAATGATGCCGTCCGTGGTGTGTCTGCTTTACTACTTAGAATGCAGGCATACTAAAACAATAATTGTGTTACTAATGCAGCCACCATATCTAAGGATTGTTAAGCTGCAATATATAAAATTTTTGATCTGGGGTTTAAAATTGTCATTTTCCCTGAACTTCGACACTTAAAACAGACCCACAAAGTAACCATTAACACAACTTAACCCCTTTGCGGCGGCGCCTCCCAGTCCTTTAAGAGTTTCAGAAGCCGGGAGGTGGACGGGGTTTTTAGGGTCATGTGACCACCGTGATTCGCTGTCACGGAGGTCACATGATTGGAAAAAGTCCTGATCGCAAAGGGAGATCGGAACCTTTCCATAAGTCACAGACATATGTGCTGGGAGCGCGCGCGGGTGTGCTCTCTCAGCACATATGTATTTTCTAATGGCACACAAATATGCGGTCGCTCGGCGTCAAGACTCAGATGCCGAGAGGCTGCGTATTTGTGTGCGCTCGGTGTCTAGGGGTTAAATCAAGGTTATATTTACTTGAGGACCAGTGTCTAGGATGGCATATACACATTTCTTTTTTTTTTTTTCTAACTGGGTGTCTATAGAAAACAGCAATCATTTCCACAAAAATAATCACAAGAACAGGGCTTGTGCAAAATGACATAATCATTATGTGTAACTATATAGAATTTGTAAAGCAGGGACTTATGTGAAAGACTTAATGTGCTGAGAATAGACCTTCATATAGATGATCATTAAATAATCAGTGGAATTCATAACAACATCTTTGATAAGCTTACTTTTTTTATTCATAACATGCTACTAAAATGCACCTCTGGTAAATTAATATTCTTCCCCTACACAAGAACATGGATTGTTACCTTGGCAAAGGAAAATATATTTTAAACTTGGTGAAGCAAAATATATTGAGAATGCACACGTAATTAATCCCAGCATTCAAACGAATCTTTAAATTACTCTGGCAGTATTGCAGGACTGATCAATTGTCACTGTTTTGGCCTGAACTGATCTTTTTTAAAGAAACCCTGGACCTTTGTGTTCATCTAATTGGCATTCTGCTATGTAACCTATTTTAGAACAATGTTCAGAACTATTTTAACTTTTTATCTTCAACTTGGATTTTTTTTTTTTACAAGTTCACAATAACTCTCAATTTTGAGTTAAGATATAAGGAAGTAAAGTATTTCTTTGCATGGCACTGCAAAGAGCAAAGTAGAGCCTGTGTATGTAATGATCATACAGTATATGGCAAAGCAACGGGTTCACTTTAATGACGATTACAGTGGCTGGCTTTGGTAAATGCTTCTATGCCATGTTACATGCTTCATTTTAATATAGAAATCCCCAGGTTCATATAATTACCTTCCTTTCACTCCCAAGCCAGTCTACACAAAGTAAAATAAAGCTCCATCTGGGATACAAGTCCCTAGCATTGTGGCTTGTACACGGCTACAGACTCTCCATGTGACAGCTATGATTGGCCAACTATCCATGTCACATGGTTAGAGTAAATGCTCCTCCATCCCCAGAAGTACTGGTATTTTATTCATCTTCTAGCATTGGTCAAGAAAGAGTATGTATATGAAGTGGGGAAAGGGGGGGTTTATACAACCCCATTGAGAAAAATAAAAGACAACAGCATGTCACATGAAAACAAACTGTATTAGAAGACAGAACTTTTCAAAATGCTCCTACAGAAAACACTTTAGTTCATACAAAGATTTACAGCACAATTTCATCAAATTGTTATCTTTTGTTGTGTATCAAGCCTTCCCCTCCTGATAAGCTATGGCTAATTTGTTTAAAATAATAATAATAATGTTTTGTAGGGAAAAGCTCATGCATTTTCATGTACACTGTACTGATTACAGAGCTGTAAGACTATATAGCATGAAATAGCTACCTACAGACGTGCTTAAAATGCCATATATGTAAAGGTGCATTTTCTGCAGTCCATTGTCATGTGGACCATTTGAACATTTCTGGTGATTAAATGGAAACTTGCAGCTTGTCCTACAATTTTAGAATTGGTTACTGTATTTTTCTTTGGTGTTAAAGCAGAACAATATAAAAAGACTAGTAAGACCTTAAAAGGAGGAACCATCGAGAGCTGCAGGGAACCCAGGAGTGTTGATCTGCTGGGTTCTCCCTGCAACTCCTACAGTTCCTCCTACTGACCTCCACATCACTACAGAGCTCAGCAGGGTCATAGATATGAGAGGGAGGAACCAATGAGAACTGAAAAAGGACTCAGAAGAGTAACAATCCTGGAAATGTCATTTTACCAGCAGACTTTAAAGGTCAGTTTCTCAGGAATGGAGTGCTGTTTGGTGGTGCAGGCAGAGGAGAAGGTAAGTATTAACAGTCTTCTTCAACAGATAATATGGCTTTTGAATTTAAAAACACTTGAGGAACACCTTAATTATCTTTATTATGGTAACAAAAACCTATTCTGTTTCATATCAGATCTCTTATGCGTGTTTTTCTACTTTTTTCTGACTGTGTTCTGTAGATGGGAAAAAGTTTATATATATATGCCAAATAGTTATATGCAAATATATGCCAAATAGTTATTTATTAGCTGACACTGAATGTGTGAATGGGTATATCTTTCCTATAACTAGGCCACCAAGAGGAACGTGATAAAAGTTCTTCTGTTTTTGAAATTCCAAAATGTCCCACAAGTTTAGAGGCATGAACTAATTTGAGGGCTTCCACCCGAGCAGATTCAGGTACATAGAGACGATGTGCTTCAGTCCAAAAGCCGTTCTTGTATTCAAGGTTAATATCCTTAGGAGGATCATTAAGAAGTGGGTCATTCTCATACCCC